CCCCCTTTTTTTTTTTTTAAAGAATCATTTTATTTAACTTTATTTATTTACTTATTTTAGCTTGACCAGCGGGGACAGAGAGATGAAAAGTGAGAAAGCAAGCTGTCAGGTCCAGGACTCAAACCGCAGTCAGTCATGTTGGAATCCGGTTGCCCTAACCACTATACCACCTGCTAGCTAACCCTGATTATGGATTATTTCTAAGGAAATAGGGTTCCTTTTCTAGATAGCTCCCAAATCAAGTATTGGATGCTGCCTTCCTCTTTGGCCCCAGACGCTCTCATGGCAGTGGGTATTTAGTGAACGTGGTGAGGTAAAAGTCGAATTGTTTCCCGGGCCGTAGGCACCGGCCTCTTCCACACCTCTTGGTTGTTCTACTTCAGTTTCAAGGGTCCCAGTCCCTAACCTAGGGCCTGGTGGTCCCCTGAGCTTGCTCAGCCAACTCATTACCCTCACCCCCCCCCCCCCGCCCCCGAACTCGGCGGGGGGTAGTCACGCGAATCGTGCGGGTGATTGGACAGCCTCGGGGCAACATGCTTTTGGTGGGCATCGGGGGCAGCGGACGTCAGAGCCTGGCCCGCTTGGCTTCATCCATCTGCGAGTACATCACTTTCCAGATTGAGGTCACCAAGCACTATCGGAAGCAGGAGTTCCGCGATGGTACGGCTGGGTTTCTGGAACACAGGAAGGCTTGTGGCAAAGAATGAGAGACCAGATGCTTGAGTGTTGGGGGATGGCAAGAGAGGAGACCGTGAGATGTGCCAGGCCCGTGCGAGGTAGAGCAGCGGTCCCCAAGCCTTGTGGGATCAGGAGCTGGTTTTGCATGAAATGGGGAGGAGCAGAGGTGGTTTATGAGAGCACACAACCTAGATCCTCACGTGCGCAGTTCCCAGTAGGGCTGGCGCCCCTGTGGGACTCTAACCTGCTGCTGGCCTGGTAGGAGGGAGGGCTCGGGTGGTGATGGAGCGATGGGGAGCTTCGCTCTCACCAGCCACTCGCTCCGGCTGTGCGGCCGCTCCATGGCCTGTGGCCTAGGGCTGGGGGACTCCTGGAGTACAGGACAGCGTGAATGTGCTGCAGGCTGGGAGAGGGTTCCTAAACCTCAGAAGACGAACGGGGGACAGGACGGAGAATCCCAAACCTGTCTGTTCTGTCTCCTCACCCTCCTTTGCTGTTGGGCCAGATATCAAGCGACTCTATCGCCAGGCCGGGGTTGAGCTCAAGACCACGTCCTTCCTTTTTGTGGACACCCAGATCGCTGACGAATCCTTCCTAGAAGACATTAACAACATCCTCAGCTCAGGCGAGGTCCCCAATCTCTACAAGACAGATGAATTTGAAGAGGTATGGCTCCTTCTGCATTCACTGGCCTTCCTAAGTAACCCCGGAGAACCACAGATCCCAGAATATGCTACGGTAGTACCCCGGCTGTCCACCTCTCCCCACCCCACAAAGTTGAGGGCTGTCCTTTTTCAGCCATCTTCCCTCCAGGACCCCTATGGGGCGGAGCTGCTTTAAAACCCAGCTCTTGTCAGGGCCCGCTGGTGGCATGGTGGTTAAGGCAGCTGGAGCCCTCAGAGCCAACTGCATGGTTTGCGTCCCAGACCCAGTGGCTTAAAAAACATTCTGGTCACATGTGCAACTGTGTCCAAGATCCTGAGAGGAGAATGAATGAGAAGGGATTATGGTGTGGCCTTCCCCCCGGAAGGTGCTTTCTCACTTTCCTTTCCCCTCTCTCTGTCTTTCTCTGGCGAGTGCACATGCCTCATGGCAAACTTTAAAAAAAAAAAAAGAAAAAAGAAAAGAAAACCACCCCTTGTCAGCTCAGCCTAACCTGCTACCTCCACTGGTTGTGCCGTGGGCCTGGGAGCTTCGGCCCTGACCCCGCGCGGCTTCTGTGCAGATCCAGGCACACATCATAGAGCAGGCCCGGGCGGAGCAGGTGCCTGAGTCGTCGGACAGCCTCTTCGCCTACCTCATCGAGCGCGTGCGCAACAACCTGCACATCGTGCTCTGCCTCAGCCCCGTGGGGGACCCCTTCAGGTGACTTCCCCTTTCCTGGCCACCCCTCCCATTCCTTCTGGAAGTCCTAGACATGGTGCCTTCTGTTAAGAAAGTCCCCATGGCTGACGTGGGAGTCACCCCTCCCCCTTTAGCATAACTAAAATGGTGGGGGGGGGCGGGGGGGGACACGGAACATAAAAAGTAACATCGGAACCATTTTAAGTGTACCGCTCAGGGGTGTAAATGATCTTCACGCTGCCGTGCAACATCTCTCTAGAATCTTCCCTTTTCCAAAGTGAGACCATCCCCTCTAAATGGTAACTCCCATCCCCATCGCCATCCTGCGGCAGCCCAAGTCCCACTTCCTGTCTTTGTGAGGCTGATACTTCGGGTACTCACGTGAGTGGGATTGTACAGCATTCATCTTCCTGTGATTTATCTCGGTTAGCACAATGTCCTCGAAGTTCATCCATAGTGTAGCATCCTCTTTTTTAAAGGTTGGATAATACTCTTATTTTATGCTTATAGAGCATTTTCTTTCTCTTTTTTTAAAAAAACATTTATTCATTTACTTTCTCCACAAGTGAGAAAGAGAGAGAAAGAGAACCCTCTTCTCCCCAATAGGGTCTTGACACTATGACCCATCCCCCCGGTCAGCCCCAGATCATGGGCATGGGCGTGCCCATTGTGTCAGGGTGGTCTCCAGACACGAACACGGGACCTTCCCATGTGGGTTGGCCTTGCAGAGAGTTTTTTTTTTTCCATTGTGTCACTATCTGGGCCCCCTATGTTTTCTTTATCTGCTCTTGGTATGAGTTGATTTTTAAGAGCATCAGAAGCGAGGAGGAGGGCAGAGGACAATTTGGATTCCCATTTATTTGGGTTTGGGTTTTGAATATGTATAGTATGTGGTTACCAGGTGCCAGTCACTGTGTCACCGCATTGAGCTGCCCAGCAACCCTCATATGTATTGTTATTCCCATCTCAGAGATGAGGCAGCTCATGTTCAAGGGGCTAGATTCTTTTAAAAGTGTTTTTATCATTTCTTATTGACATTTAATTGTTGTGCATCTTTGTGGGGTACAATGTAGATTTCCAAAGCATGCGTGCAGAGAGGTTAGATTCTTACCCAAGATGCGCACCTAGGAGGTGTGGAAGCGAGTGTCTCTGATCTAGAGCCTATTTCTAAATCAACACTGAACTGGCACTGAGGGGGCAGAACCAGAACAAGGCAGTACAGAAGCAAGAGGGTGGGGCGTTGACGTTGGTGGCAAGCGGGTGGACAGGCCGGCGAGGCCAGGAGCTGGAGGTAGAGTGTGCAGGCATTGACTGCCTCTTGAAACCCTTCCCCAGGAACTGGATCCGCCAGTACCCAGCCTTGGTGAACTGCACGACCATTAACTGGTTCTCAGAGTGGCCCCGCGAGGCCCTGCTAGAGGTGGCTGAGAAGTACCTCGTGGGAGTGGACCTGGGGACTCAGGAGAATGTGAGCCCCTCCTCCCCATCTCTCACCCACCCCATCTCCTCGCACTCTCCCTGCACTCACCTTTCTCTTCTATCCTGTGCCGTTGCCCTCAGATCCACAGGAAGGTGGCCCGGATCTTTGTCACCATGCATTGGTCAGTGGCGCGCTACTCCCAGAAGATGCTGTTGGAACTGAAAAGATACAACTATGTCACACCCACCAACTACCTGGAGCTCGTGTCCGGGTATAAGAAGTACGAAGATCAGGGGACGTGGAGGGCCAGGGAGGTTGGCGTCTCTGGGGGTGACTGGTGGAATGATGTAATGGGAACCATCTGGGGCCAGGTGGTGGCACAGCCTTAACTGGTCCCACCCGGGGGGCGCCTGTTCCTGTCCCCAAGCTTCTCTGTAGACACTGGGCACAGGCACACACGTGATGCAGGCTGGCTGAGACGAGGGGCAGATTGTGACACGAAGTCCTTGGTTGGTGCCCCTCTCTCTGTATGAACGAAGAAACTTAAAACTAAAAAAGAAAATATGCAGAAGAAAGGATTGTGGCATGACTATGCCCTGTGAGGGGATGTCTTTCCCCTCTCCGTCCGCTCGCCCTCTGTCTGCTTCTCTCTCTGGCGAGCGCACATTCTCTGGCAATTAGAAACGTTGAAAACGAGCTACTTTTGATGGGGTGTAGAGTAAATCAGAGCGACAGGAGCCTCAAGCAGGACCAGCTGGGAAGCTGTTGACAGTGATCCAGGCAAGGAAATTGTGAACACCTGACCAGGGTGTGGTGCTGGTAGGGGCGCCAGCGAGGAACAGGGACACGCTGGAAAGGTGGACTGTACAGGACACCCCCTTCCGGGAGCCCCCCTTCTCTCCAGGCTGCTGGGAGAGAAACGGCAGGAGCTGCTGGACCAGGCCAATAAGCTGCGGACAGGGCTGTTCAAGATCGATGAAACCAGGGAAAAGGTGGAAGTGATGTCTCTGGAGCTGGAAGATGCCAAGAAAAAGGTGGCTGAGTTCCAGAAACAGTGCGAGGAGTACCTGGTCATCATCGTGCAGCAGAAGCGGGAAGCGGATGAGCAGCAGAAGGTCCAGGGCTCCCTCCGGCCTGGCCCCTGCACCCACTCCTGCCCTTGCCCAGGGAAGAGGCTTCGGTCTCCATGGGTTACTGCCTCAGGGGATGCATGTTCCACTCCTCAGATTTTCTTTAGCTTTCTCTTTGATCTCTTCCACCAACATTGTCTCCTCCACCTTTGCCCAAGGCAAAGAGAAAAGAAAAAACAAAACCTGTTCTCTTTTCATCCCTAGGCCGTAACAGCCAATAGCGAAAAAATTGCAGTTGAGGAAATCAAATGTCAGGCCCTGGCGGACAATGCTCAGAAAGATCTAGAAGAGGCATTGCCTGCTCTGGAAGAGGCCATGCGGGTACCAGGGGCCGTGCAAGGACGGGTACCGGGCGTGGAAGGGCCCAGGGAAGGAGTCGGGCTGGGTGTCTTTGCCCTCAGAGTCCCTGGGTAAGTGGGAAGAAGAGGAGGCACCTTAGCTAGGTCTTGTCTCCAGAAAGGACTTGTTTTACCACTGAGCTGACTCCGGCTCCGCTCCCTCCGTTTAATCCCTCTTCCCAGGCCCTGGAGTCTCTGAACAAGAAGGATATCGGTGAGATCAAGTCTTATGGCCGGCCCCCTGCCCAAGTGGAGATAGTGATGCAGGCGGTCATGATCCTTCGGGGCAATGAGCCCACGTGGGCAGAAGCCAAGAGGCAGCTGGGTAAGCCAAGGAGCCACAAGAGGGCTGACCTCGGTCTGTCCAGGCCTCATGGAGCATGTGTTGTGATCAGGCTTCCGGACACGGGGGTGAATGAGGATGAACGAAACATCCTACCAGCCCTCAAGAACAGAGAGCCTAGTTGGAACGAGAACACGAATGTCAGTTAAGGGTCTTGGGTTGCGACAGACATCAACTCATCTTAATGTAAGGGAAAAGGGGAGGGGGCAGCAGGTGGCACAGAGGTTAAGGCAGCTAGATCCACATGGCTGATAGAGTGGTTCGAGTCCCAGATCCGGTGGCTTAAAAAATCACACCAAGGGAGCAGCAGTTAGCGTAATGGCTATGTCGCTGGACTCCCATGTACTTGACCGTGGTTCGCGTCCTGGACCCGGTGGCTTAAAACTCAAACAGGAGCCTGAGCGTGCGTGCCCAAGATCCCGAGAGGAGAATGGAGGAGAAGGGATTGCGGCGTGGCCATCCCCTCTGGGGGGTGATTTCTCACTTTCTGTCTCTCTGTCTCTCTCTGTCTCTCTGGCGAGTGCACACGCCCTATAGCAAAAAAAAAAAATCACACCAAGTATGTGTGTGAATGTACCCCAAATCCCGGGAGATAAGAGGAGAAAGGATTGTAGCATGGCCATCCCCCGTGGGGAGTGATTTCTCACCTTCTCTCTCTCTGTCTCTCTCCAATGAATGTATGCGTCTTCTGGCAAACTAAAAAAGAAAAGAAAATGGTCATAGGTTTTAGAACATGTGGCAGAATCTGAAGACAGACAGGCCTTTAGGCCCCCCAAAAGGGCAAGAAATAGAAAGTGGAAAAACAGGAGACCAGCAGTTGGCATAATGGCTATGTCACTGGACAGGTAGTTGACCATGGTTCGAGTCCCGAACCCAGTAGCTTAAACACTGGGCACATTTGCATGCGTGCCCAAGATCTTGAGAGGAGAATGGAAGAGCAGGGATTGCGGTGTGGCCATCCCCCATGGGGGGGGTGATTTCTCGCTTTCTTTCTCTCTGTCTCTCTGTCTTTCTGGCAAGTGGCCTATAGCAAAAACCTCTCAAAAAGAAAAAGAAAAGAAAATGGAAAAACGGGACTCTGTCTTGTTCCTAGGGCTTTCTCTGTTGTAGAACAACCCCCTGCCACCTCCCAACCCCCGCCACCACAGTTTGGCGACCCCCAGTGTGTGGGCTGTGAGTAATGGAAGGGAGGCTGTGGGCCCCTGGGCTGAGCAGTCACTAGAAGAGCGAGCCAGGTCAGAGGGAGCGAGTGGGCCGTGGTCCACTATTTTGACCCCAGGAACAGTGTGACTGTGCCCAGCAGTGAGGGTGAACCTGGGCCAGGAGAATGGGATCAGGCCCTCTGATTGAGGCCCCTCATTTTTATCCACCAGGGGAGCAGAACTTCATCAAGTCACTGATCCACTTTGATAAAGACAACATCTCAGATAAAGTCCTGAAGAAGATCGGAGCCTACTGTGCCCAGCCCGACTTCCAGCCTGACATCATCGGCCGCGTCTCCCTGGCCGCCAAGTCCCTCTGCATGTGGGTGCGGGCCATGGAGGTACTGCAGTGGCTGGGCCGGGTGGGGGCAGTGAGGAAGCCTGGGAGGAGGCAGGCGGACAGGGCGGATGGAGATGGGAGGGATGCTCTCTGGAGGTGAGTGGTGGGTGGGCCTGTGGGCCCTCTGCAGCCGGGCTGTCTCCCGCAGCTCTATGGCCGGCTGTATCGGGTGGTGGAGCCCAAGCGAGTCCGAATGAACGCGGCCTTGGCCCAGCTTCAGGAGAAGCAGGCGGCGCTTGCTGAGGCCCAGGAGAAGCTGCGGGAGGTGAGTCTCATACCTGCCTTTTCCAGGCGCTCCTGATGTCCCGGGGGCTTCAGCACCATTTATTTCTGCCGTCCAGTTCTATTCCCCTCAGTCACTGCGGTCCCGGCTCCCTCCCGCTCCATGTCCCCTTGGTTGGGAATGGGCTGCGGCTCAGTGCACTCAGCTCAGTGCTCGGTTGGGAAGGTTAAAAAGCTCAGAGGGCGCTGTGCCCAGAACTCTCCCCGAGACGAACCTGGGAGGTGGTGATCACCATCATGGCCGTCGGAGTTGGCCCCTGAGGTATTAACTAATGACACGCGTGTGGCAAATTGGTCTTTGCCCGGAGATGGGCCAGGTGGGTGGGGAGCAACGTGAGGGTCCCCGTGCATGTGCCCGGTGGGGGCAGGGCTGTCCCCCAGTTTCTGTAAGCAGGCTGCGAACCCCAGAAGGTGATGCCTATGAGACGCTTGCACAGGTGACGCTCAGACCAGGCAGGGTGGTCACGTGCTGTTTGTTACCGGGTTCGGAATTCTTCCAGTCTGTCATTTGAATTTTTCATGGAGTCCATAAGTAATACCACTCCATCCCCAACATAATAGTCACACGGTTTGACATGCAAAAGGTACAAAGGTACTCAGTAGGATGTCTCTCCTCGGCTCTGGGCCAGCAAGTGTTATGGTGGTTAAGGCACTGGACTCCCACATGGCCAACCATAGTTCGAGTCTCGGGTCTGGCAGCTTGAAACTCATGCCAGGCACTTTGTGTGTGTGTGTGTGTGTGTGTGTGTGTGTGTGTCCATCCAGAATCCCAGGAGGAGAATGGAGAAGGGTGTGGCTATCCCCTCCCGTAGGGGGGGGGTGGTGTCTCACTTTCCCTCTCACTGTCTCTGTCTCTCCAGTGAGTACCCACACTCTATGGCAAAAATCTAAAGAAATCTCCCCCCTACCTGCTGCTCCTGGCTTTCTTCCCTGAAACAACCAATGATAAATTCTTTATTTCAAAAATTATGTATTGGGTGCCAGCAGTTAGCATAATGGCTATGTCGCTGGACTCCCACGTAGTCAACCGCGGTTCGCATCCCGGACCCGGTGGCTTAAAACTCACGCCGGGCGCGCGTGCGTGCATGCCCAAGATCCCGAGAGGAGAATGGAGGAGAAGGGATTGCCGCGTGACCATCCCCCATGGGGGGGTGATTTCTCGCTTTCTGTCTCTCTGTCTCTCTCTGTCTGTCTGGCGAACGCACGCGCCCTATAGCGGAAAAAAAAAAAAAAACTCTCCAAAAAAAGAAAAAAAAAAGTATGTATTTACTTCTTCCATGGGGCAGGGGGACTCCCAGAAGGAGTGGTCTTTGGTCTTTGCTCTGTGGTCTGCTCCAGTCTCAGCCTGTCCAGGATGGGAGCGCATGTGTGGCCGGTATGCTCAGAGGGGCCCAGGACATAGCCAGGGCCTTTCCCGTGTGGGTCCAGTGGGGTTCCACTGAGCCACTGCCTGGCCACAGTCCGGCCTCTCCGTCCAGAGCAGCCTGTGCCTACGTGAGCAAGTACGCCGACGCAGTTCCTCCTAACACCGCGCACGCCGCCCTGCACCTTCCCGTCTGCGGCCCCGCAAGTCGGACATTGGCCCACTCCAGTGCATGTCCCAGGGGACGGCTTCAGTGCTCCTTACGTAATCGTTACACCACCAGCACCTTTTTTTTTTTTTTTTTTTTTTAGGTTTTTGCCACAGGGCAAGTGTACTTGCCAGAGAGACACAGAGAGGGAATATGAGAAATCACCCTCACCCTGCCAGGGGGTCAGCCACACTGTAATCCCTTTTTCTCTATTCTCCTTTTGGGATTTTGGATGCACATGCGCACACGCCCAGTATGATTTTCTTTCTTTCTTTCTCTCTTTTCTTTGTGTAGAGAGGTTTTTGTTATAGGGCGCGTGTACTCACTGGAGAGACAGAAAACAGTGAGACTGAAAGTGAGAAATCTGCCCCCAGAGGAAATGGCCACACCGCAATCCCTTCTCCTCTGTTCTGCCCTTGGGATTTTGGGCACGCACACATGTGCCCAGTGTGAGTTTTAAGCCACCGGGTGTGGTACTCAAACCATGGTTGACTACGTGGGAGTCCAGTGATGTAACCATTACGCCATCTGCTGATCCCGCCCAGCATGATTTTCAAGCTTCCTGGTCCCAGGCTCGGAGTGTGGTTGGCCATGTGGGAGTCCAGTGCCTTAACCACCATGCCGTCTGCTGGCCCTATTACCCTTTTTAAAAAGGGCATCACAGGGCTGGGACCTGCAGGTGGCATGATGGTTACATCACTGGACTCCCACGTAGCCGTCTGTGCTTTGAGTCTCAGATCTGGTGGCTTAAATGCACGCTGGGCACATGTGCATATGTGCGTGCTCAAAATCTCGAGAGGAGGATGGAGGAGAAGGGAGTACAGTGTGGCCCTCCCTCCTACGGGGTGATTTCTGTCTCTCTGTCTCTCTGTCTCTCCAGTGAGCACATGCACCCTATACCAAAAATCTCTCCAAAACAAACAAACAAAAAACCCTACATCACAGGGCATGTGTAAGAGAAAGCGAATCCCTCAGTGGGGCTTGGTCAGGCTACAGTCTTTTCTCCTCCAGTTCTCCATCTTGTCTGGATCCTGGGTATGTGCATATTTCTTATTGCGATTGTCAAGCCACCAGGGCTGGGACTTGAACCCTGACTGACCAGATGGGGCCCACCTCCCTCTGCGCAGCACTTGTGATTAAGATGTGTGCTACCAGGCTGGCCCTATCAACCCCATCTCAGCTGGCCATGTTCGTTGTTTCCTTTTTTTTTTTTTTTTTGAGAGGTTTTCGCTACAGGGCGCGTGTGCTTGCCAGACAGACAGAGAGAGACAGAGAGACAGAAAGTGAGAAATCACCCCCCAGGGGGGATGGCCACGCCGCAATCCCTTCTCCTCCATTCTCCTCTCAGGATCTTGGGCACGCACGCACACGCGCCCGGCATGAGTTCTAAGCCACCGGGTCCGGGACGCGAATTGCGGTCGACTACGTGGGAGTCCAGCGACATAGCCATTACGCTAATGCTGGTTCCCCCATATATATTTTTTTCTTAACAGATGGCATATGTGCTTGCTGGAGAGAGGCAGAGAAAGAGTCAAAAGTGCCCCGCAGGAGACAGTCACTCTGCAATCCATTCTCCTCCATTTCTTACTTCTTTGGCAATGTGGGGACATGAACGCACATGTGCCCCCATGTTTTTTAAGCCACTGAATCTGGGACTTGAACCACTCAGTCAGCCATGAGGGCTCCAGCCACCTTAACCACTACACCACCAGCTAACTGAACCCTCCAATCTTTCGGTCTTCATTTATCTTCTAACTTTGTCGAAGCTGTCTGGTGTAGAAACTGAACACGGTTACATAATCAGAGCCGGTCATACAATTCCAAAATGTTTTACCAGAAACCGACTATGGACAATGTCCTGGTCCAACCCTCTGCCATCGGATGAGGGGCCCAAGGTTCTCGCGGGCAAGCTGCTGCAGAGCTGGGGCTACACCCCACATTCCCAGGTCCCCGCGGGCGAGGCCCAGGCCCTTTCCTGCCTTTCCTGCGGCAGGCTAGGCTCGTTACCTCCTTTGAGACCTGCCAGGGCTCCGCCCGTGCAGAGAACTCAGCCTGCAGGGGAGCAGCTCTGTCTGCACAGGCCCGGTCGTGCCACGCCTGCTGCCGTCCACCTCCCCTGAGCCGTCACTCTCACTCTCTTCCCTTCCAAGAGTGAATAATCGCAGGTGCGGCAACCCATCTGGGAAGTTTCCTCACCTGGATGAATCATATCCTGGGCCAAATAATCGGGCATTGTTCCCTTTATGCATGACAATGGGGCCTCTGGGGCCTGCAGCCTGCGGCAGCATTCAGTGGGCACCGGGGTCGGGGCTGTGGTGGAGAGCCCACCCCCCTCAGAACCCCTAGCTGACAGAGGTAAGCAGGCAGAGAGCCCACGCTTCTCCCTTACTGCTATAAAGACCGATGTGTAATAGCCAAATGCATCTTTTTAAACAGTTCATTTCTTCCATGAGAGAGACAGAGAGGGGGAGGGAGGGGGTATCCCGCATGGGGTCTGCACTCCATGACTCCCCCCCATTTCAGCCACACGCATATGCTGGTCCCCGGGTGTGAACCTACACCTTGCCATGTGGGTCAGTGCCTCACTGCGGTGCTACTGCCCAGCCCCAGATACACCTGTGCAGAGCGCCTCAGCGCTAGACACTGTGGTGGTACCCAGGTCCCACCCCAGGCCAGGTCAGTACACATCCCTCTTAGGGCCTGGGAATCCACTCTTCACCCCCAGGTTTTTGCCATAGGGCTTGTACAATTGCTGGAGAGAGACAGAGACAGAGAGAGGAAAAATAAGAAATTACCTGCTCCGGTGGGTTAGCCTTCATTCTCCTCTCAGGATTTTTGGGAATCACACACACCCAGTGTGATTTTGTTTTTTAAATAATTATTTATTTTATTATTATTATTATTATTATTTAAATTTGCTATAGTCACCAAAGAGAGAAACAGAGAAAGAGAGAAAGTAAGCTAACAGGTTCAGGACTCGAACCATGGTCAGCCATGTGGGAGTCCAGTACCCCAACCACCACAACACTTGGTGCCCTTCCCACCCCACCATGTGATTTTCAAGCTACCAGGTCTGAGACTCGAACTGCAGAGTTGGCCATGTGGGAATCCAGTGCCTTAACCACCATGCCACCTCCTGCAGGCCCCAAAAATCAACATTTTGATTTAAAAAAAATTTTAAGGGAGTTTTTTTTTTCTTTCGTTCTCTCTCTCTCTCTCTCTCTTTTGCTATAGGGCATGTGCACTTCCCAGAGAGAAATCACCACCCCCCCCAAGATGGCCATGCCGCAATCCCTTCTCCCCTCACCACTCTGGATCTTGGGCACGCCTGCACATGCACCCGTCCTGAGTTTTAAGCCACCAGATCTGGAAGTCAAACCGTAGGCTACTACATGGGAATCCAGCGACATAA